ACCTCACTTCTTCAGATGAAAGCCCTGCATCTGAAGAAGTGAGGTTCTTACCCACGAAAGCTTATGCTCCCAGTACTTCTGTTAGTCTCAAAGGTGCCACAGGACCCTCTGTTGCTTTCAACTGAAGTCAGTGGCACTACACTGCTGTGAAAGTGACATGAGAGGAGAATCAGGCCCTGTATTCTGGAGAGTGAGCCAGGGGACTTCTATTGTGAAGAATGTTCACAAAATATATTGGTGAAGTCTGAAATGTAACTGGGTCAGCCTCAAGGTGACCTCATTACTTGCATAGAACTTGAGTTATACCTTTATAACTGGGTTTACGGGACAATGATCCTATCCTCAGTTAATTACTGATGTACAAAAATAACTGTTATTGTGCAAACAATGCGACTGCTACTTACACTGAGCTTGCAAGTGCTGTGCAAATATTAATGAATTATTTCTCAGCAGTCACACACCCCATGAGGATTAGCATTCTTATTCTGTAACTTGGGAAACTGAGATGAAGAAAAGTTCAGTTCAGTGACTTACCTGAGACAATACATTATCAATGTCACGTGTGCCAAGGCCATATCCAAGTCTTAAAGAAAGCCGAGATTAGAACTCATACATTTCTCTTTCATTATCCTGTATTCAGCCCACTTCATAGTACTGCCTTATAATTTTATAGGCCTTTTGCCTGTTAGGAGGAATTTCCTTGCTTAGGGCAAAATTCTCCACTTGGGTTTGCACTTGTTCTATGAATGCACTGTCATCAGGAGTCCAATGCAGAATATGCAATAGTAATCTGCAGTATGGGTAAGTATGGTTAAGATAAATGCTTGGAGTTACAAGGATGGACCATTCCATACTCCTTGGAATGAAGGAATGAAGGGAAGTATGAAGGTGGTAGCAATTAGAGAAAGGCTGAGGGAATCCAGGCTTAGAGCGTTTGGTCGTAGCACCGTAGTTGCGTTGGTTTGATTTTTCCCACCCTCTTTTTAATATAACACAAGAATTACATTTATAGCAACAGACATGTTATAATGTACTGTCCATCTTAGCATTGCAAAGTGCTTTGGAAAGGTGTGGGGAGAAGCACTTCCCACATTTTATGGATGAGAAAATAGAGACATGAAGATCTTACACTGAGATCTGCAGGGGCAAGCACCTGGGCAGCACCACGCTGAAGTCAGTGGGACTCCATTCAGATGCAGAGGTCCACCTGGGCAGAATTCAAGGTAGGATCAGGACCTTAGTGACTTGCCAAGTGAGAGACTAGAAGGCCAGTAACAGAACCTAAGTCTCCTGAATCCCACTGCCATACTCTATCCATACTGCAACAGATAGAGCAGTGCCTTGCTGCCAAGTGAGTATTACAGCTGCGATTTTTTCCTAACCTTTTCCAATATGCGCTGAAAGATGTTTACATGTTAAGGTATTGCAGCAAGGCTGTTCTCTTTCTGAGGGCAGCTCACAAAGTTGGCCAGTTATCAAAGAACAGTACTTTTTACTACTGTTATGCTTCCTTGTAGCTGATCTTTTCAGGAGTCAACAGGTTCTGATATTTGTTCAAAACAATGCACATCAATGCTAATACAGTGGAGGTGCTTCCTTTTTTAATTCTTCCAGGGTGATGAAATTTCTCGTTCACTTATGAAATGCATCGTGTTCTCAGGCCAGCATTGAAGCACTTTGATGAAGCAACTGGCAGTGCTGCTTCCTGTGCTGTGCTGTCCTTTCCCTGTCAACAGTAAAATTCAACCCACAACTTAAAAGGTTAAAAGAAAGTAATTTTGGAACAATCACATTGAAATGCAAAAAGAATTTGTGGAACAGATGCTATCATGAAGACCCACTCCTTGGTGCTGCTTTCAGGGGCCCAAGTCCTTCTGATATATAAATATATATAGCAAGGCTTTTTTTTTTTTAATGGAAAATTGGGATTTTGCCTAAATGAAAAATTTTGCAGCAAAATGCTTTCCATACAAATGTTCTCTTTGTTGTTTTTGATGTTGTTGGAAAACCGGATAAATGAAATTTTTCAGCTGAAAAGTGAAGTTTTTGGTTTTTGGGTGACATTTTCAATGAAACACTTCCTGTTTTCTGAGATGCTCTAAAAATCAGCACCTTCACAGGAGACTCAGCACTACACAGAACCAAACCCATAGTTAGTATCTGTTGCACAGGTTATTGCTAGCTTCAGGTTTTGTTATAGTTTTAATTTTTTTGAACCAGATCAACAGCCCTGAAAACTGGAATGTGGACCAATATCTATTCTCAGTGAACTGGTGTAAATCCAGTTACTCTGGCTTTAGACCATTATAACCAAGAGCAGAATCTGGCCCTGTATTACTTTAACCCTAGGAGAGGCACAGCATGAGGATTAGTAGCTCAAGCTTTCCTACTGCTGTATCCCCATTGCTGTGCCTCTTTGTGTACTGGAGACGTGGGACCACATTTCCACCAGTGTAAACAAGGAATAATTCCAACAGAGTAGTGTGAGGCCGTATGTGTGTGTTTCAACCATGGGGAGGCATAGCTCAGTGGTTTGAGCATTGGCCTGCTAAACCCAGGGTTATGAGTTCAATCCTTGTGGGGGGCCACTTAGGGAATCTGGGGCAAAATCAGTACTTGGTCCTGCTAGTGAGGGCAGGGGGCTGGACTTGACTTGACATCCTTTCAAGGTCCCTTCCAATTCTAGGAGATGCAATATCTCCATTAATTAAAATTATTATTATAACAATAATTAACTTTTAACCATCTGAATCTGGATCTTCCTATTATAATGAAACTATCTCAAAAAGAGAAAGCATATGTATTAACAAAGACAAAAGCAGAGACTTTTTTGGCAAGCCTGTATAAATGTACATAGGTTTAAAACATTGCTGAAGATATTGGGGGGCTCCTAGAAACCTGCTTCTTAAAATTGCACAACCACATTAGAAGGTAGACTAAGATGAGTGCCCCACATAGTCACCCTCTGTCTGACTACTGCAGTATAATTCCAGTCACACTTGTAACATTTATCCCTGTAATTCTTAGGCTCCTTTTGCTTTTGGAATATGGTTTGTATCAAAAAACCAGGTATTTTTAAAAAATCCCATGAGAGGATCCTTCCCCCCACAATCTTCATATGTATATTAAAATTGGAAAGCAAATAGATTCATAACCTTTCTGCCCTCTTCTTTGTGAGCACAGGCATGCCTGATTCAAGGTGTATGGAATAAGATAAGGGGAACAGTTTTGTGGGAGACACTTGTTAAATTATTGGCAGCACAGCACAAGGTAATTGCTGTTTGATTTCCGCATTTGTTTTTCACTGGTTAGAACAGGGATCAGCAACCTTTGGCACGTGGCCCGCCATGGTAAGCACCCTGGCGGTCTGGGCTCATTTTTTTACCTGCCGCATCCGCAGGTTCAGCCGATCGCGGCTCCCACTGGCTGCAGTTCGCCACTCCAGGCCAATGGGGGCCGCAGGAAGCGGCGCGGACCGAGGGATGTGCTGGCCAGCGCTTCCCATAGTCCCCATTGGCCTGGAGCGGTGAACCTCAGCCAGTGGGAGCTGCGATCGGCCAAATCTGTAGATGCGGCAAGTAAACAAACCAGCCTGGCCTGCCAGGGTGCTTGCCCTGGTGGGCTGTATGCCAAAGGTTGCCAATTCCTGGGTTAGAACAATGACACTAGTCCTGCCTCTCCACTCCAGTTGTATACTGGTGCAACTTCAATGACTTGCTCTGGTCACATAATGAATCCCTATTAAATCCTCCAATAATAGAACCCATGAGTCCTGACTCACATTTACCTCCTTTAGATCACTAGACCACATACTTGCCCTTGCATGGTATATGTAAAGCAAAAAAATATAATGGCTGAATTTTCCCCTCAGTTACACCCAGGCAACTCCACTGATTTCACATTATTTTGAATACTATACAGCTTCAGTGGTGTTTCTTGGGTGTAAATGAGGAAAGACTTTGGCAGTTCACTATATTGGGCATTTTGGACAAAAGTTCATTTTCACTTAAAGGTCTGTAGATGACTTCAGTGTCACTGCTGTAGTATTCTTTTTCATAATGCTAGTCATAGTAGCATCTGTTGGCTGCTGTAATTCAGATTGCCGCACACAAAAGCAGCGCTTGAGCATGTTCAGGATATCCGTTCTCCCAGTTTCACTCACAAAGCAGTACAGAATTGGGTCAGCAATACAGTTGAAACTTGTTAAGGCCTGAGTAATTCTATAAGGCTTAAACATATGGATAAAGTTGCCATTGTCTGGCTCATTGATGCTGCGAATCAGCAACACAGCGTGGTAGGGAGTGAAGCAAAAGAAGAAAGTAATGGTGATGCTCAATAGCAGCTTCTTGACTTTCTTTTTTCTCTATCTTCTGTGGCTTGATTATGCCTCACAGCTTGGTAGATTTTTTGGTAGCAAAACAGCATGATTGCCAAAGGGATCATGTATCCTGAGCATATCCGGAAGATGTTTAGTATGGCTTGCCATTTTTCCAAAGGGTATTTATCATAACATAAGACATGGTCAGTGGAATTGCAAACCTTGTGGAATGTTTCATCCTTCACCAGAATCATACCGTTAAGGCTGGTTTCCAAAACCCAAACAAAGATGCTAACAAGCAAGGCAGATCTTCTTGTGCGCAGGTGTTGGAACTTGAGAGGGTGAACTAATGCCAGGTATCTATCAACGGAGATGCAAGTGAGGAAGGCAGCACTGGTGTAAAAATTCATGTACATAAGGAAGGCAGAAATCCGGCAAAGCAAAGCAGAGAATTGCCAGGTATCTTCATGCCAAGTGTAATCAATCCACAGAGGCAAGGTCAGAGTGTATAGGAGGTCAGCTAGGGATAAACTGAAGAGGTATATAGCTAACTCATTTTTTTTCCTTACTTGTATATAAGATACACAGAGGAATGAACAATTGACAGGAATACTGACCACAATCACAATGATGTAAACAAATGGAAACAAGTTCTTATCCAGATTGTAATCATCCATGCACTCAGTGCTATTCATTGTCCCCTCCTTAGAACAATCATTGATTCCAGCCTGGATACAGAAGAGCAAGCTCTGTAGTCTTATGGATCACTTTCTTCTGCTAATTCCCCAGGGCACAACGACAAGGATCCCATCCACTGCACTGAAATTTCTTTCTGTTGCAAGAAAAAAAAAATCATTGGTTGATCATTCAGTTAACCTGGTGCACAAAAATGCAGTGGTCCTTCGAAAGCTCCAAGCCAATGCAGGAGTAAAAGAGCTAGACTCATAAGACTAGATTCTCATAGGGGCCAGTTGCTGCTCCCTGATTCAAAGCTGTCCAGCTTTGGCACAAATAGGGATGTATAGGGGCTGCCCCCAACTTATGCCAGTGGAGGAGCAGGCATAGTGGAGTGCTTCTGTGCAGTGCCCCCTCCTCTCCCTGTCCCACCCGTGCCTCACCCTGTTAATGTCCCTGACACATCTCTTCCTTCCCCTTACACAGAGGATCAAGCTGGTGGCTGACACAGATAGCAGCAGAGCCTCCTGCACCAGCTTCAAACCAGTGGAGAGTTCTTGTGCACAGGCGGCATTCTTCACTGGCCTTCTCTGGATACTCTGGATACTGGCTACTCTGTGCTGTCTACACAGCGACATTAAGAAATAACTAACAGACTTGCCATCAGATCAGTTTCATGACTCAGTATAATACCTGTAGCTTCAAATAATTAATTCCAAGATCAGAGTCTATGCTGTCCTAACGCACAGGACAATCTCCCAGTTCCTACTCATGAAGCCAGCACCTTCCGCTCTTTCAGATCCCTTCGAAGAGCTCCCTACATGAAGTAAGTTTATTTTCTTATTTAAAAAAGGAAGGATTCCCATTTACTTCAATGGGCTTTGGATCAGGCCCATAGCGAATGTAGTAGCAACATCAAATCAAGCTTGAATTGCTGACAATTTCAAAGACAGATTAGGGTTTTTTTAAAGCTTTAAAGCTGTTCCTAGTGCCATACGCAGTATTACTCTGGGTTAGCAATGTGCTTCTTAATGCTGAGATTCCCACGGTGATGAATTTCTCCAGTTCTCATTTTTATCTTTTTAAAAAATTGTTACTGATATGGCTCATCTGTGTGAGCCAGTCAGCCTTCATTTCACTTATTCTCCATGTCTAAAGAGAATGGGCTTAACCTGTCCCCACTAAAGCCCCTTTACACTGCTCAAGGGGTGACCAGGCCCTGAAAGGGAACAGAAAAAGCCTTCTGAATACCCCAGTGCAGGGGTGGAACAAGCAGCCCGGCACCACCTCCTCTCAGAGACCCAACATAGGGTTTGACCAAGGAAGTGGCCAAGGGGAAGTAGGGAGCGGCTGGAACACTCTTCACTCTGGCTATTTAGAACTGTGGAAAAGCTCAGTAACTTAATGCAGAGGCTGTTTTGGCACCTAAAGCAACCCCAAATCTGCCCATTTTGCCCCTTACTCTTCTGAGTTGCACATTCTGTCTTGTGCATCCTGAGAGGTGCAGCATGAAACCTGGGCCATTCCTGAGACAATTAGTGTAGGAAGGAACCAGTTCTGATGTGTATTTACTGAGTGAACAGGATATGTGCTTTGCAAAAATCAAGAGATCTCATCTTAATTTGTGTAAACTCTCCTTCTTTCCCTTCCTAATGCTTATAACATCTCCTTGTGTCCCAGGCCTGGTCTACACTACAAAGTTAGGTCAGTGTAAGCCACCCTGCATTGACTTACTCGTGCACGTATCTAGACTTAAATTTATCTCCCACTGATGCAGGTGCCTCATTATGCCAACATAGTAACACCAGCTCCCTGAGCAGCGTTGAGCCATGGTTGATGTATGGAGGTGAACACGGAATGAGAGTGGACACCATAGGTGCCGGAGCACCCACAGAGAAAAATTAGTGGGTGCTCTGCACCCACTGGCAGCCAAGCTCCCTCCCAGCGCTTTCCCCCGGCTGCCACCAAACAGCTGTTTGGTGGCGTGCTGGGAGTGGGGGGAGGAGCGGGAACATAGCACGCTCAGGGGAAGAGGCGGGGCCGGGGCGGGGATTTGCGGAAGGGGTTGGAATGGGAGTGGGGCAGGGGGTGGGGCCACATGGAAGGGGTGGAGTGGGGGCGGGGCCGGGGGTAGAGGGGGTCGAGCACCAGGGGAAAGCGGGGAAGTCGACACCTATGGTGGACACTCCGTTACCTTTGTCAACCCTAATTGTCCTCCTGTAGTTATCCCACACTGCCTGACACGGATTGCTGTGGACACACCACTGCCCAGGGGTCGCAGAGACCATAAGTCCCCCACATTTAAAATCTCTGAGAATTTTTGAAATGCCTTTTCCTGGTTGTCCAGCTTGGTGAGCACACCTCTGTCTGTTCTCCAATGTTACGTGCAGCTGCCCAGCTGACCACACTGGCTACACGCTCCAGACATGCTCTGGCCTGAAGTAGACAGGAGATATTGGATCTCTTGGGCTGATGAGGAGAACAGGCTGTGCAGACACAGCTCTGAACCAGCAGTAGCAATGTCAGTATCTATGAGTAGATTGCTGAGGGGATGCAGGAGAAGGGGTATGACGGGGATCAGCAGCAGAGCCACGTGAAAGCCAAGGAGTTGTGGCAGGCATATCAGAAGGTCAGGGAGGCCAACAATTGATTCAGCACTGAGCCACAGACCTGCTGCTTTTACAAAGAGCTGCATGCCATACTTGATGGCTACCCCACCACCACCGCACACACACCACTGTGAATACCTCCAAGGAGCCTGAGTCGCAGGCCTCTGCCATGAACTGCGAGGAAAAGGAGGTAGACAAGGAAGAGGTGTATGGGGGACTAATGAGTGGGGGTCTACCTGTGCTGCAAGCCAGGAGCTGTTCTTGACTCCACTGCAGTTTAGCCAGTCTCTGCAGTCGAACCTTGGGTAAATAAATCTCCCATTCCAGGTACGGCTCCCACAACTTAGCAGGACTCAGTGATTGACTTTTCATTAATTTACTTGTACTAGAATAGGTAGTGGTACAAAACAGAGGTAGAGTTGCTGTCTGCTTTTCATTCCCTTCTAGAGTTGGGCTGGGGGTGGGAGGGGGTCAACCGTGCAGAGTAGTTTGTTTATGTACACAGGGATGTCCCTTTAATCCTCCTGACAGATCTCCATGAAATTTCCATGAGGGTACACTGCAATCCTCTTCCAGAGGTTTCTAGGGATGGTGGCTTTATTTTTTCCTCTGAGGTAGAATACTTTCCCATTCCAGTCAGCAATAACTTCGGCAGGCCCTATTGTCTTAAAGAGGCAGCATACTGGCCCAGGCAACTTTGGGACACCAGCAGCAGCTGTGCTCTTTTTCTCTTTTCAGAGTAGCAGCCGTGTTAGTCTGTATCCGCAAGAAGAACAGGAGTACTTGTGGCACCTTAGAGACTAACAAATTTATTAGAGCATAAGCTTTTGTGGACTACAGCCCACTTCAGATGCATACAGAGTGGAATAAATATTGAGGATATATATATACACACATACAGAGAGCATAAACAGGTGGGAGTTGTCTTACCAAGTCTGAGAGGCCAATTTTTAATAATAATGGAGATATCCCATCTCCTAGAACTGGAAGGGACCTTGAAAGGTCATTGAGTCCAGCCCCCTGCCTTCACTAGCAGGGCCAAGTACTGATTTTGCCCCAGATTCCCAAGTGGCCCCCTTGAGGATTGAACTCACAACCCTGGGTTTAGCAGGCCAATGCTCAAACCACTGAGCTATCCCTCCCCCCATTAAGTAAGTAAGAGAAAAAAAACTTTTGAAGTGATAATCAAGATAGCCCAGTACAGACAGTTTGATAAGAAGCGTGAGAATACTCACGCTTCTTATCAAACTGTCTGTACTGGGCTATCTTGATTATCACTTCAAAAGTTTTT